CACCGACAATAGCGCCAAGCGGCGGTCGAAACGTACATCCGCGAGCCTGCGTGCCCTTCACGGCACGGCGCGGCACCGCAGGGACCGCCAACCCCGTTCGAAGCCCCGAATCTCCATATAAGCATATCTTAATCGGATTCGGAAAGCCGCAAGGAATGATACCCTTCAAAACACTTGAGGAGGTGAAAAAGAGAAAACACATACTTGTTCAAAAAAAAGTGAATGTTTAAAACTTAATTAATTCTAACTCCCCGAATCTCCACTTTGGAATATGATTCGTTCGTGTCGGAAGGGCCGCGAGGAACTATCTGTTTAGAAGGCTTCCGGAAAGTTTGCTCTATATTTTCCCGGAAAGGGCATAGGCCCAGGGTTCTCTTTTAGTTGGTTTACCCCCCGGTTTCGACGGGAGGTGGGCCGGCGAAATTATTCTGCGATAAATTACGTGCGGGAAGAGGGCCGGCGAAATTATTTTTGAGGATGTCTCGAGCGAAACGCTTGTGTTTCAGAATTTGTTGAGGATGTCTCGAGCGAAACCCTTGTTTTGTGTTATAGATGGTTTTTTCCTGGGGACATGATTTCTGAGGATCTCTCAAGTGGATTGCTTGTTTTCACGTGCCCAGGTCTTGAGGATGTCTCGAGCGAGACGCTTGGTTTCACGCCTCCAGGTGGCCCAGACAGATGTCTAGCATGAGGATTTGTTCAGGATGTCTCGAACCATAGGCTTGTTTCAGTGTCCAGGTCGCCCAGGCGGATGTCTAGCATTAGCATTTGTTGAGGATGTCTCGAGCGAGACGCTTGTTTGCAGTGTCCAGGTTGCCAGGCGGATGTCTAGCATGAGGATGTGCTGACAACGTCTTGAGCGAAACGCGTGTTTTCACGTGTCCAGGTCGCCCAGGCACAGCACAGCCCTCGGCACGGTACATCAATAACGATACCCTTAGCATTGCAGCCTGGCATGTTGCCTGGCACGTTCCGCGGAGCGTCCCGTGGCGAGTCCTCCTGGCACGTCGCGCGGTG